TGTGTTTTTGAAGAAAGTTTCCGCAGGACAGAGTGATGGGACGTACCTCTGACACGAGATGCTCCGTGCGCTTTCTATCTCCAGATCCACCTGTTTCTCCCTGCAGCGGGTCACATAGGGGTGGTGAGCGCGCCTCCGTCTGCTACTGTACGCCCCGATTGACCACGACCGCTCTCACTTTAAACATGAAAACATACACGAATGCACAGAAGTTCTCCAGTGTATTCCGCTGGACAGAGAGCTGGTGTGTGTGTGTCTCTTCAGAAGGGAAATAATAGCAAGGGATTACAGGAGCTCATTAATTGGGACTCTTCCCCCTTAAGAATGATTGACAGACGGTTTCTGCTCAAGTAATTGCTCTAAATGGAGCTTGAATTCACCCCACAGGAGGAGGGCGACACTAATGAAGCTGTTTCTCCTTCCTCTTACAACATTCAATTGTTTTAGAGATAAAAGGATGAACTGAAAGTTTTCACTGATGCCTGTACTATTAAAACTAAAAGACCTTTCACCGGAAAGCTGTTACTGACATAAATATGTAAAAAAATATTCCTACTGGTAGAACGTCATTAGTCTTAAAATGATAGACCCATTACTAAAACAAAATATTCATTCTTATACAAAAAATGCTAAAATATAGCCATTAAATAAATTATAAATATAATTTTATGTATTATTATTACACAATTGTCATATACATATATTACATAAAAAACTATATATATATTAATTTTTTGAAATATTCGTATACTTTTTAATATGCTAGAGATATGTATAAATAATGTGATCAAATATTAATAAAAAAAATTATAAAATGTGAAAAAAATTACATATAAATATTTATGTATATTAACATAGACCGATGACATGTGGAGCATGTCTTGGCGTGAACGGCACGCTTCACAGAAAGTATTACAGTAAAAACTCAATACTGTCACCTGCGGAATAATTAGCTGAGTAATTAAAGCAAGCGATATGATCACAGACTCGTTTAACAACTCATTAAAGACTTAACCTAATCAAACTCATGAGTGATCATTGCTTATTAAGAGATATGACCTCAGAACAAGATTAACTTGTTCACGTTCAAATGAATCCATGTAAACGATCCTACTGCTTCCACCAATACGTCTGTATTTGCTCATTTCTTCTATATGTGTGTAAAATATAGTACAAACTGTAATTTCTATTAAACATACAACAGAAACATTAATTTTCTGGCTTGTAGACACCTATTGTCTTGTCTTGGTATGATGGAATCATTGGGAGAAGTCTTCAAGACACTGAAGATTTCCTCTGTCCTCAATGAAGTCTTAAGATACTTTGAAGACGCTCACTTACTGTATTTGTTTTGGGTCAGTGTTCGTGTTCAGAAGTGAGACGAAACATGAAGAGTAAAGAAATGGTCTGAAATTGCATGACTGGGTGAAAGTATGTCTTCCAAAAACCTCTCAAATCTCATTGAAATCTACAATACCTTGGCTCAGCCAAATGTTACGGCCAGTGCAAGTGGCTAAAGCCAGCCAACACGAAAGACCTCCAGGAAAGATTGACTTTAAACCGTATGCTTGCATACATGTTGCCAGATTGATGTCTAAGTCTCATGAGCCAGAGTCAATCCTCGAAGGACAAGGCTGAAGATAGAAAATACCTGGAAAGCTTGGAGTTTCATCATACAGCTGCATCTCACGTGCATCCCTGTTGGCTCATGAGGCATTTGAGAATAATGGGAGTTCTTAGAAAGGAATGGGAATCTATCCATCTATCCATCCTCAAATCCTCCTACTTAGCAGAATCTGTTTTCCCATATATTTGGAGTCAATGTGTCCAATCAAACTCTAAAGCATTTTAGTGCCATTTGGTTTTACTTGGTGGAAGCTAGTCAAACATGGACATACTGAGAACATTCCACTTGTCCAACCTTGACTAACTTCTCCAAAGCAACACCAAATTGCATTAAAATACTCTAGAGTTTGATTGGGCTAATATGCAAATATGTCAGAATTCTATTTTGTACAGTAAACAATTGCGGTTGGGAATTTCAAATCTTGGTCCAACCTGCTGGGAGCCACCGACTAGACTGTTGATCAAACCAGTTGGGAATCAACAACTAGACTATTGGTCCAACCAGCTGGGAATCACCGAATAGACCATTGGTCCAACCAGTTGGGAACCACTGACTAGACTACTGGTCCAACCAGCTGGGAGCCACTGACTAGACTGTTAGTCCAACCAGTTGGGAACCATCAACTAGACTATTGGTCTAACCAGCTGGGAACCACCATTGGTCGAACCAGCTGGGAACCACCGAAAAGACCATTGGTCCAACCAGTTGGGAACCAACGACTAGACTCTTGGTCCAACCAGCTGCGAACCACTAGCTAGACTAGTAGTCCAACCAGTTGAGAACCACTGACTACACTATTGGTCCTACAAGTTGGGAACCACGTCTAGACTATTGGTCCAACCAGTTGGGAACCAACGACTAGACTCTTGGTCCAACCAGCTGCGAACCACTAGCTAGACTAGTAGTCCAACCAGTTGAGAACCACTGACTACACTATTGGTCCAACCAGTTGGGAACCACGTCTAGACTATTGGTCTTGTTCATAGAGTCATCTTGGGAGAAAGGTCACTTCTTGTCAACAATTCGAGTTCTCGGTTTGATTTTTGATGGGATTGGAAGAGAGACAGTACAATTTATTCGATCACGCTGATGTATTTCCTGAAGCTCCGCGCTTGTTTCCTCATTACACTAATTGAGTACAAATTGGCTCAGAAGGTGCAGCGCAGCTATCAAGAGGATTAGGTTTATCAGATGACAACGTAAAGCCCTCTGATCCTATTAGACGCAAAGCAGCTAACGCAGAGGAGCTGTGTCAGCTCACCAGGGGGAAGCAAGGAGAAAGACAAGAAGCAGAAAGTTGGCTATTGTACACAGTGTTTTGTAAACGGAAAGCATTTTATGCAATTCAGCTTATCACCATGACAACTAGCTCTGCTCTTTATGTGCATGATCATGAGTAAAATGGGCTTGGTGAATCCTAAATTTCAACAAAATTAATGCCTGTTCACACCAAAGCCAATAACGATATAGTTTTGAAAATCATTCAAAATTTAGTAGAGTCTAGACCACAAACATAATCATCTACAACAATGTCGTTGGAATCAGTTTCAAAATGTTTTTTTTCCCCACCTGATGAATGATTGACAGCCAATCAGAATCCATTATGCTGTGTCCAAATGTAATAAACAGTGTGTTACGGTGCATTGGTGTGGATGCTAATATAGTTATCGTTACGGTTATCTTTATTGTTATCATTCTTAGTGTGTACGGCCTTAAGGCCCAATGAATCTGTATGACGAGTGTAGTTTTTGGGTTGTTTATAGCTAATAGCTTTTTCTTTAAATCCCAGCAATTAACATGACTTGCTACTTGTCATTGCTAATTTGTAAGATGGGAGTTCATCTAGATTTTATGCAAAAATCATTTGTGTGCCCAAGCAAACAAGAGAACTCTTTGAAATTTGAAATGCACTATTTACAATTTCGCCCGACTTTTATGAGCACGTTAGCATATAAATACTAGCCTCAAAGCTTTAGTCCGGAAATGGACTAAAATCCACAAAAATCTCATTCTGATTTAATGGGGTCCTTAAATGGTGATGTTAGAAGTCTTCACAGATATGCAAACCTGATCTGTAAACAAGATTAATTGGAACCAATGCATATACAAATGAACAGTTAGCGATATAGCTTACCACACCTAGTGGCAGATTTGGTTACTGCTGTTATAGCGTAAATAACAAATCTTGGTATTATTAGTGATTTTTACTAGTAAAATGGAAGCTACTGAGATAAAGAGCTCAAGCTTGCCCCCATTAGGAGACCCACTCAGTGTAAAATAAAATAGCTTTTAACGGGCTAGTCTGCCCAAAATCTAAAACTCGTCATCATTTACTCACCCTCAAGTTTTTCCAAACCTGTAAAAAATCATTTGCATTATAATATTTTAATAAATATAATATAAAAACAATCAAATAAAAGAAAAATTACAGTAGATGAGAACCACTTTTGATCATTTTTTGAAAATAAAAAATTTAAAAAGCCTTTCTAATTAAAAATAATATAATGATTTTGTTGTTGTTTTGTTTTTAATAAAATCATACTTATTATTATTGTATTATTGTTGTTGTTTTTCCTTTTTGCAATTATTATTCTCAATGATTCTTATTCAATTTAAAAAAAAATGAACAATTAAACACTATTTGCAGTGTGGTAATGAGAATAAAGGAAAAAATAGGTTTAATTTCTCATGCAAAAAAAATTCCGCAGGGTTTAATCTGGTTTTGATTGTGTATGTGTTTTTTGACTCTCAAAGCCGTGATTCCCCATTCACCTCCATTATATGACTGACAGACTGCAACGTTTTGAGTTAAAAATCTCCGTTTGTGTTCAACTGAAGAAACAAAGTCACCTACATCTTGGATGCCCTGGGCGTAAGCAGATAAACATCAAATTATCATTTTTGGGTGAACTATCCCTTTAAGTGTCAATTTTAAATAAGCTTTCCATTGGTGTATGGTTTGTTAGGATAGGGCAATATTTGGCTGAGATACAACTATTTGAAAATCTGGAATCTGAGGGTGCAAAAAAAAATCTAAATATTGAGAAAATCACCTTTAAAGTTGTCCAAATGAAGTCCTTAGTAATGCATATTACTAATCAAAAATTAAGTTTTGATATATTTACGGTAGGAAATTTACTAAATATCTTCATGGAACATGATCTTTACTTAATATCCTAATGATTTTTGGCATAAAAGAAAAATGATTTTGACCCATACAATGTATTTTTGGCTATTGCTACAAATATACCCCAGCGACTTATGCTCCAGGGTCACATATTTAAATTGATGCATTGATTTTCTGTATTAAAATGAAGGGCAACTTGACTTTAATACCTAAAATAAATATTAGTTTGTGTATTTTCGTGAGCTCTTACAGTGAAAAGCGCAGCAGCTGCGTCGCACTGATCGCAAAACGTCCTCGTGTGCGAAGAAAATTCACCAGATTTCCCTGCGACGACACACAATTTAGTCTATGAATAAATGTTTTCAAATTCAGTGCGCTTGACAGATACTCCTCTGAAATCTGTACCTTCGTCATGAGCTCTGTGACGATGTGAAGTCCGTTGTGAAGAATCACTCCTAATAACCGCACCAGATTCTTATGATGGAGATTTCTGGAAAAGAGGAATAATTAGGAATATGTAATAAAGACACAGAGCAGGTAACGGAGGAGGAGATGCTCTTACGTCATGACCGACGTCTCTTCGAGGAAGGCCTGAGCGGTTACATCACATTTGATGTTCTTAACAGCGACCCGCTGACCTGCGTATTCACCCTCAAACACGGCTGAAATATTAACATATCCGTCAGATTCACACAGACGAAAATAAAAGAACATACATTAATACATTTTTAACCATCAAGTATATATGATTTGTATGTATCATATTTTATATCTAATTTTTTTTCATTTGGTGAGCAGCTAGAACAGAAAGTGGAGCCTGCAAGGAATAGTGAAGATTTTTTTCTTATATTTTGTATATTAATTATTTATGTTTATTTATTAGCATTTTAAATGTAATTAATATATATGTCTATTTATGCATTTAATTTAATATATATAGAAATGTATACATAAAATTTAAATATGTATATTACCTTAAATGTAATTAGAATTTTGTTGTGTTCATATATATATATTCCCACATGATAGCCAAAATGTTTCACAAAACTGACTTCAGTAAAATAATCAAATTTTTCTCCACTCACTGAATTAAACACAATAACGTTGCATAATGTATTTTTGACATATTATTAATAAAAAATGACAGTATACAGTGTGCAATTACTGCTCTCGCCCCAATAATAGCCATGTCTCATTCAAATTCTGCTCTCTATTGGTTATCTGAGAGAACTACAATAACAAAGTCCACATGTGTATTCAAAAGGACAGCATACCCCCGAACTCTCCCTCTCCAATGGTCTCTCCTAACGTAAGTTTGGACAGATCCAAAAGCCAGCCGGCTGTAACACAGAGGCAGATTTACAGTGTTAAACTACTAGAAATCAATCCTCAGGTATTTTTGGAGCTCTTTCGAGTCACACATACATTTCAACAGCTTCGTCTCAGCAGATTTCGTGCCTTCCTTCTTCTTGGGCTTCAGCAGAAGCGTAGCGAGGGCGCCTTGATTTCTGCTGTAAAACTGTCAAACAAACACAGCATTTATAAAACCAGCTGTGGCTACAAAACACACCAGAAATTCCCCTTTAATTCCCAATAAAGTCATAACATCAGCTGCAGTTAGAAAGTGTGATGCAATGTCTATAAGAGGGAGTTGAGGACAAGGATTAGACTAAATAATAATAATAATAATAACAACAACAACAACAATAATAATTTGTCACACTACAAAGAGTGATTAAAAACAATGAAATGTGAAAAAATAATAGATTGTTAAAAAAAATTATTATAAATAATAATAAATCATATATATTTTTTAAATCACACCACACAGCCACTTAAAAAAAGCTCAAATGTGATAAAGTAAATAAATAAAATAATAATTTGCTAACACTGCATGACTAAAATATAAATGTGAATAAAATGTTTAAAAAATCCAATCAGGTTTTAAGTCACAACACAGCATGCAAAGTGCACTTTTAAAAGTTGCAAATGATATTTTATTAGAAACAGATAAAGGGGATGCTGTGGCTTTGGTGCTTTTAGACTTAAGCTCTGCATTTGATATGGTTGACCACAATATCTTGATTTCCAGGTTGGAGAGCTGTGTTGGGTTACAGGGTGTTGAAATTGTTTCAGTCTTTTTTAACAAACAGAAGTTTTAGTGTTTCTATTTGCCAACTTGCTTGTGGGGTTCCACAGGGCTCAATTCTTGGCCCAGTTTTATTTTCTATATTTAAGATGGGTGCTATCTTTAAGAAATATGGAGTGCCCTTCCACCTATATGCGAATGATACTCAGCTGTATTTTACCTTGAAGCATAAAAGTAAAGAATTCTTAGGACCTCTGTCGGATTGCCTAAACAAATTACAAATATGGTTAAAGCAGAATCTTTTAGTGTTAAATGAGAACAAAACCGAAATCATTTTGTTTGGTTTAAAGTCATATGAAGACTGTGCCCTTCATTTTGGTCATCTCTCTTCCTACTTTACACCCTGTGCTAAAAATATTGGTGTTCTTTTTGATTGCAACCTGGGTTTTGAGAAACAAATTAGTGCAGTCTAGTCTAGGATCAAGATTCTTCCACTAACAGCGTTTATCAAAAATCTAATCTTTACTCTCTGTAAAACAGTTTGAACAGATTATTCGCTTGTTTGTTTTATCTCATTTAGATTGCTGTAATTCTCTATAGTATAAGTCAGTCCTCTATAATGCGTTTACAGATGGTCCAAAATGCTGCTGCAAGGATGCTGACAGGCAGACGGCGGTTCGATCACATCTCGCCCATTCTTATTTCACTAAACTGGTTACCAGTCAAATTTAGAATTGTTTTTACAATTTTCACTTTTGTTTTTAAATCTCTTCATAATCGAGCACCATCAATTCTCTCTGAGGCAATCTCTATTCATAAACCAAATAGGTCCCTAAGATCCAGTAATCTTGGTCTCCTCTCTGTTCCTAGATCGAGGTTCCTTTGTAGAGGTGATCGAGCCATCGCTGTTGCCGGTCCTAGTCTATGGAACAAATGACCAGCTTCTATTAGAGCTGTGCCCTCTTTGCCAGTATTTAAATACCTGCTTAAAAAAACATCTTTTGTCAATAGCTTTTATCTAGCCATGTCAATTGTATTGTTATATTGTGTTTTGCTGTTTCTAATTTATTTTATTTTAGCTGTATTGTACAGCACTTTGGATCAACAGGTTGTGTGAAAGTGCTTTATAAAGAAAGAAAAAGAAAATGGGAAATTAATATACCATTTACTGGCAGTTTTCACCATTTGTTTTTATTTTTTGCAGTTAAAGTCATATATATATCGGCACTGATTATCTAAAAATAAATAATCAGCGCCGATAGCCTCGTGGGCAGCGCTCCGAGCCGCCGAGCCGACATACTGTTGCGCTTTGGGCCCTGAGTTTCTTTAAAAGCATCTGACGCTCGCCACAAACGAGTGGCCCAGTTCTCATTTCCCCTCAAAAACCACAGGACGCGAGCAGCACGGATGTGTCACTGGAAAAGCGAGATAAATGAAGAAACATGCACACTAAATATAGCCACCGGACGCACCTCGATCATGTCGATGAGGTTGTAGAAGAACTGCTTGTTGTCGATGCTCAGTTTGTTGTCTTTGAAGATGACTCGGTAGTGGAAGACCTTCTGACTGAAGCAGAGGCACAGCACGAAGTCGCCGGGATGCCGAACCGACTCCCGCACCAAGAAAAGCCCGTCCTCCACGGGCTTAAGTTTGCCGGCGGCTTGCAGTCCCGATATTTTGCCGTGAAACCATCTGAGAAGATTGTAAACAATGTCAAATCTTAAATAACCTCTGGGTCCACCAACGTTTACCATCCAACCTGACAGAACTGGAGAGGCTCTGCAAGGAGGAATGGCAGAGGATTCCCAAATCCAGGTGTGAAAAACTTGTTGCGTCTTTCCCAAAAAGACTCATGGCTGTATTCGATCAAAAGGGTGCTTCTACTAAATACTGAGCAAAGGGTCTGAATATTTAGGACCATGTGATATTTCAGTTTTTCTTTTTTAATAAATCTGCAAAAATGTCAACAATGCTGTGTTTTTCTGTCAATATGGGGTGCTGTGTGTACATTAATGAGGAAAAAAAATGAACTTAAATGATTTTAGCAAATGGCTGCAATATAACAAAGAGTGAAAAATTTAAGGGGGTCTGAATACTTTCCGTACCCACTGTAAACTATAACCACATCCTGTCCTTCTGTGGAGTAACTACTACAACATAACAAGCTTGTTCCTCATCGCAGTTCTTCAGAATTCAGATTTCTGCTCACTTACGGCATCAGGCTTAATTTGGGGTCGATACGGAGAGCTTCCCTTTCTCTGAGTTTCGAACCCGAGACCAATCCTTCCTCTCCTGTTGCGTTATGTCGGGCTCTGTATTCTCCATTCCTCTGAAAAAAGATTAAAAAATAAAACTTTAGCCAGCCTCAGGCTTTATATGGGAGAATGTGTTTAGGAATGGTGCTTATTTTACCGTTCCAGGTCCGACGACTGTCAAGATGTCGCCTTTGTGATACGCTATTTCACCGGCTTTGGGCTTGCAGTGCTGCTTTTTGGCGACGCACTGAGTTCCTGCCGTCCAGTTCTTCTGAGTAACAGTAGAGTCAATAGAGTAATGATAATGGAGTTAGTGAGAAGTGAGGTATGAAAACATCTCAAGGCATTGGCTAATATTTAGCAGGATGTCTCGCTTACCATCGCCATGTGTTTATTGAGCACTGAACATCTGAAGATCTTCAGACCTTCAACCTGATGGAGAAACCGCGGTAAAAAAAAAAAAAGTGCATAAAAAGATTGGACATGATGTTTCAGCATGTTATAGCCACGTAAAATTTTATACTTCATCTAAATTAGCCTAAGAAAAATTTTCAAAAAGAAATGGCCAAAAATGTATTCCAAAAACCCAAAACACATGAATTAAATATTAATTTTCCACATTTGTCAATGCAGATTTTTTTTTTTAAATATTACACATTAATTTAATAGTAGGCTAATATCTAGGAGAGACCCCGAATAGTCGAAGATTCGAATCTTGGATAGGAGGAGCCTGATTCAGCTATCAGTCTCAGTCGAATATTCGCTGAGGTGTTATGATCATGCCATTTTGGCTATATGTGCTCAATGTCTGATTTCACAACTACTGGTTTTCTCCCAATAAGTTAATATACAGCCTATTAAGAATGCTGTAAATAAGAATCTGAAAAGAAAGAAGCTTTTAATAAATGTTTTTGTGTGAATAAATCCAACCACCCCTATAGATTAAAGTTTCACTTTCCATAATCCAACATTTGGAGCGGCAAGGATTTCAATCTTTAACAAGACAGAGTGAAAGATTGGATTTTTTTCGATCATGTAGGGTTATAAGTGATTTCAAAACATTTCAGCCGGTTTATATAAAAGTGATTTTTCCTGGTGGAATATGAGCTGCCCAACTCAATCCGAGCAGCTGAGTCCTTAGCCATCTTCAAGAAACGACTAAAAACACATCTCTTCCATCTTTATTTGACCCTCTAACTCTAGCACTCTCTATTCTATTTTAATTCTACTTTATCTATTTATCCTTTTTTAATAATAAAAAAAACTAGCAGCTTTCTATTTTTTCTATCTACTTGTTTTTCGTCGTGTGTGTGTATATAATATAAATATATATATATACCTTGCTACGTGTACTGCGTTAGGCTAACCGATACTTGTCATTTGCACTTATTGTTGCTCTTTTGTTAGTTTTGACTGCTTTTATTGTCCTCATTTGTAAGTTGCTTTAGATAAAGCCTCATCGGTTTGAAAAGCGAGGTGTGCTCTGATTGGTCAGCTATCCAGTGCGTTGTGATTGGCCGAATACCTCAAGCGTGTGATGGAAATGTTACGCCCCTCACCATATTGTGATGCTGTGTCCGGCCGGAGCGACGAGACAAAAACATGAAAACCCATTATAAACGAGGCATTTGTAGCATCCAGTGGGGACATAATTACTGATTATAATGACTTATACTGTCTTTTTATGTGTTGCGTTGCATCGCGCCGCGCCGCGTAAACATAAAACCATGTCTGCATTTGTGATCGGAGAAATGAGAAACAACAAGCGCTACTCTACACTGCTCAAAACTCGCGTTTGAATCATCAGTGGCAAATTCTTTAAATATGAAAACGTACTTACAGTCTGTAAGTCGGCATTATTTGTCAGCATCATAGACTGTGGTCAGCATGTGCGCAGAAGGGGAAACAGAGGAACTAAATTCACCGGAACACCGGCGGCTACTCTCCCAGGAAACAGTCCTCCGTAAAATGCGCTGCACACATCTGAATATTTGGGTTGAAGTGTTCTGGAACAGTGTTGTAAATACAACTTAACCACTGATTTCTAGTCGTGTCCATTTTTGGAAGACCAAACAAAGTAGTTTCGCTTTCACAACGAAACACACATAGTCTTCACGACATGGCGGCGGCAGCAACAATACTACAGCGAGAATCAAAGTTAACTTACGCCTTTTTTCTTTGCGTATAAATTTGGGTGGTGTTATGCAAATCTTCCCACATTGTGACATAGACGTGTGGGGGCGTGTTTAAACGAGGCGTTTTAGGAGGGCGTGGACTAGTCTTAACCTTTATAAAGAATATCTCTTTGGGTTTGAGGCTTTAGTCTTTGCAACTTTAAGGATCTCATCTATTCACAAACAGCTTGTAACACTCCAAAGAGAAAGGAAAACTTGAAATCGCATCATATGACCCCTTTAATACTACTGTCATGTAGGCTACATAACGTTGAGAGCACTGTTGTAAAAAAAATTTTGTTCTTAGGGTTTCGCTGACCTAATATTAGCCATCTTTTAATCAAAACATAAAACATTATTTTTGTATATGTGAGGCATCCGTTACACATTTTCCCTGTGTGTTAACATCAGTAGGCTAATTATTACTGTCCAATGTCTGACTTGACTCTTTTGCCCCCCCGCCCCCAAACATATGATTCGACTATTAGTCGACTACCAGCTAGATTCGAAAATTCCGATTCGACTTTGTAAATCCTTAGTCGGGGACACCCCTAGTAATATCAAGCCACATAGCCATTTAAAAAACAACAACGCTAAAAGGCAATCAAAATGGCCCAAAAATCCATTAAAAAACTCAATATACATATGAATTAAATAAATTGTGATCACAAAAAGTGATTAAAATGGTGAATCGTGGAGAAAAACTAAATCAATATGAATTGAAAAATATGTAAAATTAACATTACATCAAATTGGCACTTCAAAAACGTAAAAAAAAAATCCTCAATACACACGTGCTAAATAATAAAAAATAATAAGTCACACCGCATGACACCTTGACTGCAAAAAAGTACAACGTGATTAAAACAGCAAAAAAGTAATTGAATAAAAAATACAACAAAAAAAAACTGATACGAGGGGGAAAAAAGTATTTTAAAAATGAGTTACATGTAAAATAAATAAATAAATAAAAACTCACATTCAAAACTGAAATGTTAACCATTTTTGCATAAACCCTTGACTGGAAAAAACTCAAATGTAATTTGAAATGTTCCACAAAAATAAATAATCAAATAAAATTTTAAGATGACAACTGAACTCAAGAATTAAAAAAAAACGCACCTTAAATACACATGAGTGTTTGTATATGAAAAAAATGTTCTGTGTGCATATACTTTTTTAGTACAGATTAAGATGATAAAATCAACAAAATTCCTTATACACAAGATATAAACATTAAACTAGTAGCTTTGTAAGCCCAGTGCTGTACAAAATGAAAACAAACAAACTGTATTCTTGATATTTTTGAGATTCTTGTCACTCACCAGTATGAGTTTGTTTGTGAATATGTTGCTGGTGTCACCCCATGTGAGCGGTTACACATTCATCAGAGGTTTATTACACACGCGCTCACTTCCTCCTGATATACATGATGTGCTTCTGACGTGTTTTCCATCCCTATTTATGACCATATATGATGGCAAAAATATAAAGCAATAAAAAGGCTTCAGCTTGAACCAAAACAGACACAGGCGGGCCGTGTAGTCTGATCGTTTTCTCCGTTTATTTAGTTAAGCAGCACTACACAGATATTCCAACTGAAAGAAAGATCACACTATAATTATTCACAGTCCTACAAAACGAGAACAAACACTCAGCAGGAACATTTAAAAACACCGGGATACGATTGCATTATACATAAAAACAGGTGGCAGAACGCAAATTCAGGCGATACGAATAATCAGTTCAATATATACGAATAGCAATCTTTCTAGCAAACTGCGCATCTCTCGTTAGATTTTACTCTTTTATATAAAAATGTAAGAATAGAGAGGTATTACATTATATTGCAATATGAAGAACCGGAAATTCACCTCCTCGTTCACATTTCAAGTACTTTTAGTCTTTACCGCAGGCACATGTGAAGAACCACAGACTTTACGTTGTGTTTTCGCGTCGTTCGCTCGAGAACAACGGCTCGATACCCTGTCGAAACGCCAGCTTCTCGCCGTGAAATGAGCGATTATTCAGTATGCAAATAAAAGTAATGATAGCAGAGAGTTAATAAGTCTATTTATTTATTTTTTCCTCCGTCGGTTACAGTTCTGATGCCTAAATGTGTATAAATCCAATGTCGGGTTAATAAACATCCACACAAAGCTGAATCGTGTCGCTTTTAACAGCTTATTAGTGAATACTAATAACTACTTGTTTTAAAAACTTATTTTTTAAAAGATACACAGTAAAGAAACTAATTACTTTGCAATAATATTATACATAATAATCATATTATATCATGTTAATCATAATATATTATTATCAATATTATACATAATATTATTATATAATACATTATAATATTATTACATAGGGCTGGGAAAATAAATCGATGCATCGCGAATCTTCCGAATGCATCGCGATTCTTTCTCGAGTCGATGCTGAGCTTAGTTTTGAACAGTAGATGGCGCTGCACGCTTTAGAAACAGCCGTACTCTGCTTGTTTCCAAATCCTTACACACACTTGAACCTAAAATAATCGTTCATAAAATTCGAAAAGGTTGAAGCGAATTACAAGGGTGTTCACAGCGGGCTGTGTTTACATTAATCTGGCATCATAAAAGCATTCTGAGCCGAGGTGAAATTACATGAGCATTTGAGTGTGCGGATAAAAACTAGATTAGAGCGCCATCTGCTGTTAAAATCTAAGCTCAGAATCGATTCCAGAGAGAATCACGATGCATTCGGAAGATCTCAGAATCAATCCACGAATCGATTCTGCATCAATTTATCGTCACAGCCCTACTATTACATAGAACGGATTTCTATTTATAAATATATCGAAATATTTTGTTTATACAGTGGGATCCAAAAGTCTGAGACTTTTAATTTTTCCAGGGAAAAAAATTAATAAATAAATAAAAATTGAATTTTTTGCCAAAAATTTGAGAGCAACGTCCATCTGTTTATATTTTGCATTGTCACTAAATTACCGTAATTTCATTAGTAATGAAAAACTTAAATATTTCTTATTAATTTTATGTTATGATGTTCATGTTACATTTTTCAAAATAATAAAACATTTATTTCCATGTTAAAATGTCTGGCAAATAAAAATGTCAATGTGGACACAGCGTTTTGGGCCCCAGTGTAAATTTTTTTTTTTAAATATATATATATATATATATAAGATGTAAACAAAAAAGACTGGCCTGTGTCTGGATAATCAAAGCTTTTAATTAAGTGCCATTAATATGTCAAAGTGCCTAATAGAGCTAATGTGACGTTCTGTAACTTTATATATTATTTTGGTCGCTGATCGTTAGCAACATTCACTCATCATCTGATGCTCTGAAAAAGGGATGCGGCTGCTGCATTTCGGGCCTATTTTCAGCTCAGATGTATTAGAAAACATATTGCATCATAAAAGGGGAACGACTACGTTTTTTCCATCTCTTGTTCTTTTGAAAAACGGAACCATCGGATGTTGTATTTTTTCCTCTTCGAGTGATATTTATACATTTGCAAAGACATAACAGCTTGCGAAGATTACGCAGACGTTTCAAGGGATGTGAGAATCGTCTTTTTTATCCTTCTTTCCGTCGGCTTCTCCCTCGCCGGCGTCGCTGCCGTCGCGTCGTCTCTTGCGGTTTCGAGCTCCGGCCTTTGAGACCGGCAGTGAGCCCATGCCGAGGACTTTATGGATCTGACGGAAAGCCAGGAGTCGCAGCGCATGCTGAAACACAACGAGACGTGCTTTCAGAATAAGCATGGATCATGTAAATGGAAATGTTTGTCAAAAAAACATTATTTAGTACCTGGGCACTAGCGGTCACGTCCTCCCGAGCTTGTTTCGACATGCTTCCCAGAGCATCTGTTTGACCTTTCTCACACGGGTCGAGAAGACCTGGACCATCTGAGGGGTGGACAGACATTTAATGACTGACTTAAATATAAATATGTGTGTAAATGGGTTACGAAATGTGTAGCAAGAAAAAAAGTTGGTTTGGTTCATTTAAAAACAAAGCTTATATAAAACAAAATATAACGCATTTTAAATATAAAACTTGAAGTGAAAATGTTTCAATTTCCTTGGCAACTAATTGAAATAAAATGAGTTTAAGTACTAAAATTACAATAGAAAACTAAAAGTGACACAAAAATTAAACCTAAATAGAAATATCCAGAAATTTTTTTAATTAAATTACAAAAATGCATAACAAAATGACTGTCTTATCCCTGTGTTGCTATTGTCATTTAAAACAATTAAAAAATAAAGCTTAAATAAAATAAAATACATAAAATGAACTAGATTTAAGTTAATTGCCAATTGTTTTTTAATTACTAAAACTAAAATAGAAATAAAAATGAATTAAACCTAAATAGAAATATTTAAAAGCAAAATCTAAATAAAAACGATAAAAGCACATACAAGTATTGCGTCCTGCCCCAGTGTTGTTATTGTTAACTAAAACTATTAAAAACTGTTTTGCTAATTGCAATAAAGCTGAAATCAAATCAAATCTAAATATTAGATGAAAAACAAACCAAAAAACTTGGTTAAACCAAAAAAACTAAAATAATCTGGCACGTTACCTTGGAAACTAATCAAAATAAAGCTGAAGTACTAAAACGGAAATAAAAATAAATTAATGCTAGAAAGAAATGTAGCGAAAAATGAAAACTAATAAAAATTACAAAAGCACATAAAATAACTAGAACTATTAAAAATGATTTCTGTTAAATCTGAAACTAATATAAAAATTTGAGTAAAAAAAAAAAATTCGAAAATGAGAAATATGGCCTTGGCAACTTGAGTTGAAATACTAAAATTACTCAACTAAAATTAAAGCTAAATATTTAAAAAAATAAAGATTAATCAAAATGATAAAAGCACAACAAATGACTAGAATTTAGACTAACATTAAAATCAATCTATAGAAGTATTATATATATATACAGTGGGTACGGAAAGTATTCAGACCTCCTTAAATTTTTCACTCTTTGTTATATTGCAGCCATTTGCTAAAATCATTTAAGTTAATTTTTTTTCCTCAATGTACACACAGCACCCCATATTGACAGAAAAACACAGAATTGTTGACATTTTTGCAGATTTATTAAAAAAGAAAAACTGAAATATCACATGGTCCTAATATATATATATATATATATATATATATATATATATATATATATATATATGTTTTAATAAATAATTCCTAAAATAACATTGGTCCTACCTGGCAGGAGAATCCCGGTGGCGATGCATTCGAGGACCCTCCGCAGAGCTTCTCCGGGACTGAGTGGACCGGATGCACTGCTAATGGCTTTTTCAACAAGCAGCTCCATGGCCTTTGCAAAAGAAAACTCAACACGTTAGTTAATGCGACCTTTATTAGCTACAACTCAAATCACTGTTAGCAAACAAAGCTAACTGACCCAGTCGGGCATCTTGCCCCAGGTAGGTACGCGCTGACACAGATCCCGCAGAACCCGAATAATGATGACGCAAGTCTGAAGACCGTTCGCCCGAGCCTGTGGATGAAACTCATTAATATGCAATCACAGCTAACTACAGCACTTCAGTTAATAACACAAATGTGAACGCTAATTGATAATGCTAATGCTACTAAAATTATTCAACGGTCGAGAAATGTAAGTACGCAAACACTTGGCCAATGTATCGCAAGTGCACAGTTCCACTGTACACGTTTAACTACAGATTATTTATGATAATTAGCTAGCTAACATGCTAACCAGTTGACAATAAACTTAGCTGACTTGCTCTACGATATTCTTTACATACTATTGCTCCTGAAAATGAAAATTAGTCATTGAAGAAAAAAGTTGAAGTTAATGTACATTATAGTGCCCCTTGTGGCAATACTGAAAATAAGGCATACTAGTGATGCATTACTAATTGCGTGTTGACATATTTAGGAATATAGCTATAAAGGAAATCGAATATGCGTTGCTAGAAGAAATAGATACTTGCGTAGAGTATGTTTTGGGTTTAATCGAAAGTCAATGCCATGTCAGTTAGCTAAGTGTAGCTTTCCCAGTAGTGATTTTTTTAAAGTCAATTTAGTGCCTAAACACTTCCTTAAAAAAATTTCTATATTTAGCTGTTTTGCTAGTAACATGTAGAGTGACAAATATATATTTTTAAATATATATGACAATAAAATTAACTGACTTGATCCGCGATATTCTTTTCGAATTGTTGTTCTTGAACAAAAAAATGGATCGTAGAGGAAGTAAGTTTACAATAATTACGATTACAGCGCTCCTTGTGGCAATACTGAAAATAAAGTGCACTTAGCGATGCGTTACTAATTGCGTTTAGGAACATAGCTATGAATGAAATACAAGTCAAACTTGCTAAAAGTATGTTTCGAGTTTAGGCTAAAGTCGGTAGTTAATTAAGCTGTCTCAATAACGATTTTTTAGCTATCAAGTCAATTTAGTGTTTAAATAATGGTTATAAAAATTCACTGTATTCAGATACTTTCGGCTATTACCTTTGTAGTAGTTATTACTTTTTCAGATTTTTTTTTTTTATGTTATGCCTAATGTAACAATGTTACAATTTAACAACGTTGACAATTATGTTGAATTATGCTACGTTGCTTGTAACATAGCAAAATGCAATTTTAAAGGAGCTTCTCCAATGCTTTTTAACAAGGTTACAGATTAAGTGTCTACTATCCTAAAATTTTAAGTACAATTAAAACCTAAAATCCTAAATTAGACTTTTATCAACTTTTTTTATTTTTTATTTACCTGAAACCATTTAGCATGTCGCAGAGATGCTAAATACTCAAGGCACTTGGTCCTGCTGAGAACATCCGGAGGGTCTTTCTCTGACGCTGCAAGGACACATGTAGGAAACATCGTCAAATGTATTTAATGATTTAGCAATTGTAAGAAAATAATATTATTATAATATTATTCAAATAAATATTAAGTAGATCTCACTGATATAAAATGATTGTTGATTAAATGACACAAAGATATTTTAGGGAATGTGTGGCACTAGGCTGTGTTAATGTGATCATTACAACACAAGTCAAAACAAAGTGACCACACCGAAATGTCACAAGACGAGGGGTTTTCCGCACGTCCAGGTTCCTAAAAAAACTGTTGCAATGTTATGCAAAAGCTTGCCGCTGTCACCTCTGGCTTGCTTAGTTGGGGACACTTCATTTCCAGCGATTATCGTTGACTTGATTGCAAAGATACTATTAAACTGAACTGAGCTGGATGATGACATCACTGAATTCAGTGACGAACTGTCTTTAACTGAAAAATGAGTGTTTACTATTGTCACTTTGCATTATTGACACACTATTTTCCTAATTAATGCTGTTCAGTTGCTTTGACACAATCTGTATTGTTAAAAGCGCTATATAAATAAAGGTGACTTGACTTGACTAAACAAAACTGCCTATAAAATGTAGTAAAATAGAAATTAATATTTACAATTAATAATACAAATAAATAAATTGTTACTAAAAATAATATTAGCCACTGTTTTTGATGAAAAAGATCATAGTAGTTATTAGTAAAATGTCAAGAATCACAATTTTGTGTGGTGTAGGATCGACCGCCACTTTTATATGTACGACTAACTTGGCCTGAAAAGGTTTGTGGTGAAAGCTAAACAAACATCTCTCTCATCCTGAAGTGCTCATGTAATCTTACAACACAACTTGTACAATTTTGCGACACAGTGGTAAAGAAAGGTCAGAGATCCTGTTTTTGATTCCTTAAAAACGCTTTCAGAAAGCAATGCAAAACCGAACGGGGGGCAAATAATGGACTGAACTGAAAGAGAAAAAAAAGGAAAATGAAGAAGGGGGGGGGTAAGAAATGAACAGGAAAGCCAATTCACTGATGGAAAATTCAATTCTGTATGGAAATATCCGTATTTTTTGTGAACCAAGGGAACACATATAGTGCTGCTGAGGGAAAGCACGGGTTCTCTAACCTTTCTCCATGTTGGGGACGGGGTCTTCGCGCATCACTGGCGAGGTAAGAGTGATGGTGACCTGCATTTTTGGTTCCTTGCTTGAAAAAATGACGATGTTGGCTTCCTCAGGGTGTACCTGCACCTCATACTGATCTTCAGAAAAGGTCTGCCGGTTAAAAGGACACTTTGCATTACTACAGAGGAGACAGTGGGGGTCAGTACAGGGGCCTTAATTTTTCCCTTATAATCCCAGTGGTAAATGCCACACTCAAAGTCTTGGCTGGATAATGCAGGGGTTAATGGGATATAATGCGTATGGGAATGAAGTACATGCCCCAGTCTCTCTCTGTAGGTGTCGTAACCAGGCAGTGGAACTAAAGATCAGTTAAAGATACATGGACCACAACAGTAGCAGAAGGAGCAACGTCAAAAGCTCATGTCTGGGTCATATTTCATCCCAAATTATTTTGCATCGAGTAAATAAAGTTTATTTTTTAAGGTCAAAGTCATGACATTTAGCACATTTTCCTTGCACAATAAGTCATTACCGCAATGCACAACCATCGCAATCTCATTATTGTAATGTGAAAAAGAAAGAATCTGTATGTTAATGGTTGAATAAATAAGTATATTTTTAAGATTATAAAGATTTGACATTATTTTCATGACATATGGCACATTTTCCCCATGCAATAAGTCATTACCGCAATGCACAACAATCTAAGTTTCATTAATGTGAAAAATTAATAATAATAAAAAGATAATTAAATTTTATGCTGATTTTAATAAAGAAAAAGTTGGAAGGAACAATTTTCTGTATGTTACTGATCGCATCAAGTAAATGAAGTACATTTTTAAGATCACAAAAATTTGTTGCAATTTTACATTATTTTCATGACATTTAGCACATTTTCCCCATGCAAGAGTCATTACCACAATGCACAACAATCCCAATCTCATTGCTGTAATGTGAAAAAAATATATAAAGATAATTAAATTGTAAAAAGTATTTTTATATTGTGGTAGTGTTGTACTGAATTTAATTTTAATTTTAAGAA